TTTCTAGAGCATGCAGCTATTGCAGGAACTTTCAAATTTTTTGAGCAGCGTCATGTTTATGGGAGATTGTGGCTGCCTTGGTGTCCCTGTTTTGTAGTATGGCTTTGAGAGCTGGTCCTATAAACAATCTTCCCAATAATTTAGTAAGTCACTGAATACCCCTTAATCCCTTTCTGCTTTAAACTGGCTGGAATGTGTTCTGCTGTCTGCAGCTGGACTCTGACCAATGCACCCTCTCCCTTACATCTACAGAAGTTCCAATTTCTTCCCAGTTTTGCACATGGGTCTGGGAGAGACTGAATGAGGAGTGAGGGTGGAGAAGGAAACAGAAGGGGTGTTTCCAGGAGCTGACTGACCTTGGGGAAATTTTTTACCCAGGAAACCTTTTTGAACTGATGAGTTGCAAAGGAGAGAGAAAACCAGAAGCCAGGAAATGGAGCCAAGGTTATAGCAGAGGAGAAAGTAAATTCTATGGTAAATGGGAGAGGCTTATGAAGGCAGAGACTGAGAATGAGTTGAAAAGTCAGTAGTAAAAAATTGAGAGCATGGGGCAAGGAGAGATTCAACTATTGGCAACCCAAGTACTTCAGGTAGCTGAGGTCAAGTTTAGTCTGGTACTGAGATAATTCAAATAATTTTCACTGTTGGACTGTGAATTAGGTAAAATAGGCTCCAATGCCCATCCTACATGCCCTAACAAATCCAGAATTCCTCCTAACACACCAAAGTGCCTTGGAAAGCAGAGGTAACTCATGTTTTCTCAAATCCTCTCAGGCTCATGCTTCCACTATATCCATCTCAACTTCCACCCTCCAGAAGAGCAGTGCCTCTTCCCAGCGTACTGCCTGCAGGACACTACTTCAAACGTTTTGCTTCTCAAAGTGTCACCAGTTCAAGACAACACACAGCAGACTTTCACGCAACCAACACACAGCAGACTTCACAGCGGATATTATAACGTAGCTTGTTATAGAAAACACAGCACTGAATGTGAGTCTCTTTCTTCAAAGTCCCTTGGCCAACGTGGCACTCAGATGCTTCTCTTTGGGTCCGGGTGTGGGGGCTCACAACTGTAATCCCAGTGCTTTGGGAGGCGAAGGTGGGAGAATCACTTGAAGTCAGAAGTTCAAGACCAGCCTGGCCAACATGGTGAAACCCCATCTCTACTAAAAATAGAAAAATTAGCCAGGTATGATGGTGCACACCTGTAGTCCCAGCTATTTGGGAGGCTGAGGCAAGAGAATCGCTTGAATCTATGAGGTGGAGGTTGTGGTGAGCTGAGATTGCACCACTGCACTCCAGGCTGGGCAATAGAAAGAGAATCTGTCTCAAAAAAGAAAAAGAAGGTTCCCTTTGGTTCTTTCTCCTACTTGGGCTCCTGCTTCATTGTGCAATGTGTCAAGACCCTCCTCTTCCCCACCAGCTAACCTAAGCAAATTATTTTTTATTTCTTCTATTGAGCCATTTACATTTTTGGGTCTCTCCTCATCCAATGTGGCTGCCCAGATGACGTTTTCTCCAGGCAAAATGGCCCATGGAGACAGTTTGTCATCTAAGACGTTTTCTACCACTAGCTCTTAAATCAGAGTAGGAGGTGGTTTTGAAGACATGGTAGAGAAGGTTTATTTGGATCACACTCCTAGAGGAAGAATGGGGAATGGCATCCAGGGCTCAGACAGAAAGGACGATTCTCCTTGAACCCTCCCACGATGTGGGAGAAAATTGCAGAGGTAGGCAAGAGAAAAAGGGACAGAAGAGAGAAGACTTCCCACTCTCTTCCTGGAAGGCTGAGAATCGGTGGGCACTTCCCTTTGTCTTTTAACTCAGCCTTGGTGCCTTCCATGATGTCAAAGCATAGTGGTTAGGAGTCTGCACTATACTGAGAAAAATGACAGAATTCCAAGCCAAAAAAACAAAGTCTGCACTAGAGCCAGGTGGCCTGAAAATAAACCCTCACTCCACCACTTACAAGCTGCATGGCTTCCAGGCAAGTTTGCCTGACTCTCTGCGTTTTGTAAAATGAGGATAGCAATATTACCTATCTTATAGGGCTTATGGGAGTATTAAATGAGAAAAGCATAAAATGCATAGAACAGTGACTTAAATCTCAAGTGCTCAATAGAAACCAGCTATGTTCTGGTAACGGGAGTGGCCTCTTAAAGGAACCAGACTGGGATAGACACATCTTCTAAGACTCAGCAAGAATGAACTGGGCAGTAAAGTAAGATTAAGGGGTTGAGTCTCCCACTCTGCTGTTGAAAGATATGTGGCCTTGCACACAGTGCATAACCTGTCCATGCTCAGTTTCCTTACCCACAAAGTAGGGCTGATTATACCTACCTCCTGGGGCTCCTTTGGGGATAAAAGACACTAACACGTACAAAGAGGATGGCACAGTGGCACTATAAAGTCTGTCCTTGTCTGGAAAGTGAGCTCCACACCCAGGCTGATCCCTCATTCTTACTCTTTCTCACTAGCCAGAAGGGATTAAAAACACCAGCAACAAGAATTTAGGAATGTCTCTCTTGCCTTCCTGCCCCACCCCCACTTTTTTTTTTTTTTTTTTTTTGAGGCAAAGTCTTGCTCTGTTGCCCAGGCTGGAGTGCAGTGGTGTGATCTTGGCTCACTGCAACCTCCACTTCTCAGGCTGAAATAATTCCTGTTCCTCAGCCTCTCAAGTAGCTGGGATTACAGGCATGGCCACCATGCCAGCTAATTTCTGTATTTTTAGTAGAGATGGGGTTTCACCATGTTGGTCAGGCTGGTCTCGAACTCCTGACCTCAAGTGATCCACCTGCCTCGGCCTCCCAAAGTGCTGGGATTACAGGCATGTGCCACTGTGTCTGTCCACCTTCCTCTTTTATGTATATTTTTATATTATTCTCAATTGTATTCTCAATTGATATTATTTTTTAAAACTTGATTAAAGTTGAAACAACAATAAATATATCTTTATAACAATAATTCTTGTAACCAACTGATTGAATAAACCAGACTTGCCAGAAAGCAGACAGAATCATCTTATTCATTCTCCCATTGCCCAATCAATGTGCTCTTTGGCCCTCTTCTTCCCTACTCTGGAATGAAACCTTAAGTGAGATCCCATAGCTTTCCCCATCATTCTTAGATAATAAAAAGGTCTTCACATCATGTTCAAACATTAAGGAGATCCACCCAGTGTAATAACCAAATAATCAAAACTGCAAGCTCCTCCCCTAGTTAAAACTTATCCATCCCCCAACACAGTAGAAATTGACCCTACAGTAGGCAAGGGGGTCAATTTCTCTGTACTTCTTACAATTCAATTTCTCTGTACTTCTTACAGTTCAATTTCTCTGTACTTCTTACTCCATCTCCTACCCCATTCATTAGTTTCTGATTGTGGACCTTTGGGGTCCAGTACAGGGGGACAGGAGGAGGGGATGGAGGAAAAGACTTACTTGAAGGGAGAAGCTGCTCAGGGCATTGGTGCCCTGTGGCATGGCGAATGTCCCCTGCAGACTCTTACTTTCCTGTAGCTCTGTGAGTGTCTTGTTGGAAAACCTCCTGCTGGGCACCTCCACATCTAACCCTTTTGATATAGGGTTAGATTCCTGTCCCTCAGCTGGCTGCTTAGAACTCTCCACTCAGCTCTGACTTCCAGCAGCCAAAACCTGTTCATCAGGATAAGTGGGCAACTGTCCTTTGCACATCCTCTTACAATTTGGCATGCATGAACAGTATGAACTCAGCTTCCCAAAGAATAACCTGAAACACAACATTTTCCAGTTCTCTTAGTGCAGGGCATGAACAAGTGACAAAGATTCTATGAATCAGAGGCACTGTGTGAGGCTTTCACACTGAAGTTAAACATGAGCAAACAGGCAGGTGGGCGTGGCCTCCACGGTGCTGGTGGGTGTGTCCATAGGTGGGTGTGGCTTCCATAATGCTGGTGCGGGTGTCTCCAGGTGCTGTTCAGCCCTGGATTCAGTGGAGGGCCAGCATCAGTTCCCTTCTCAGGACAGTCTCTTTGGTGAGGTTCTGACACTTGGTCCTAGGAGAGCAGACTAGGAACTTATTCCCAAGATTTTGTTAAGTCACTAATGCCCTCTGAAAAATTCCTTTCTATTTATGCTGACTGGCAGGGGTTCTGTCATCTGCAACTAAGTACTGTTACCAAGGTAGAATCCCTTTTCCCCCCTGAGAAGATCGTTGAGCCATCTCCCTTGGAGGATGACTCTAGGCTGGCTTCCTTCCAGAAGCCACATCCAAGGGGTTCACTATCGTCAACATGCAGCTTGCTCAGATAACCACCACCTGTCTCCACTCTACTGTCAGAGAAAGGTGATTGGCCCAGCCCCACTCCTTCAAACTCTTCTTGTTGAGAGTCTCAAACTGGTCCCTGTCCCCCCAGCCCCAAGCTCTAGGAGACTCTTACACATCTCTGCAAGCAGCTCTCCAAACGCTTTCCTCACTAGGTTCCAGGTGAATGGAACACGCTCCCTTCCCTATCCCTATATAGTGGGCACAGAAATGCCCAGCACCCCTATGGTGCACCCCAGCAGCTTCTTACTCTTCACTGGACTCCTCATCTCCATCTTCTCTTCTTCTATAGCCCAGGCAGGGCTGATGGGCTAAAGCTGGCCAAACAAGCTTTGCAATTTCACAGTATGTTCTGCATGGCTGGCTTTTGGGGCTTTGGGGAAAAACACTCTACAATATGCAGGTGCATCCCTGGCTTCCCCCAACTTCCCGGCTCATCCTTCCCCAGCCTCCAGTCCCTCATGGGAAACAATCCCTGGCCTCTGGTCGCACATGACAAGGGAGTGGTGGGATCCTGAAGCCGTTGAAGTGTGTGTGCCAGCGAAAGGTCTGGAACAGGTTTAAGAAAGAGAACCTAAATTGTCAGTAAATCAATAGGAAATAAATGTTTACATTCACTCATTGCAAAGGGGCATTTCTAAGCTCAGCACATATCAGAGCCACACATGGAGACTTCTCTCTCCTCCACTACACAGAAAATGAACAAATCCCAAGAACAAGTGTCATTCAAGGATGTATGCGTAGACTTTACCCAGCAAGAGTGGCATCTGCTGGATCCTGCTCAGAAGATGCTGTCCAGAGATGTGATTCTGGAAACTTACAGCAATCTGGTTTCAGCCAGGTGTTGCATTACTAAGCCAGAAGTGATCTTCAAGATAGAGCAAGGGGCTCCTGAATATTAGAGAAAGGATTTCCAAGCCAGTGCCACCCAGAAAGGAACTGGAAAGTTGATGACCTGTCAGAGAGTGGCCAGGAAAACCGACACAAGTATTTTTGGGAGCTTGTGTTCACCAAAGACAAAACAGTAAGCATAGAAAGTGGTAATAGAATAAGAAAAACTTTCAATTTGGGTACAAACCCTGTTTCTTCAAGAAATTTTCCTTATAAAATATGTGACTTGTGTGAAATGAGTTTGAAAAAT